CAGCCGCTGAATCTCTTGGAGGGAAGTAATAGATATTTTTATTCCCTAGTTATAAAACATCCCAGCTGTTTGATCATTGACTGTTATTCTATTTTCAAAACGCTTTCTAGCTCAACAGTAGAATATATCCCAGTTGTTACTTGTGAATAATGACTGCATTGGTTGTCTCAAGGAGCTGTAAACCACAATCCCTACCGGCCTCTGAGCTAAGAACTTGTCAGACTCAGATATGGTGGGATATTTGGGTGAGAGATAAGGGCAGTAAAGAATGAGAGTGGACACTTTAACTACATAGTGGCAAAGGGCATGGGATCTGGAATTTTATACCTCATGGAGCTACTGGCATAAAATCCTTTCCCAGCTAATTCTTTGTGTTTTTGATCAATAGATTTCATTGCTACTCCCTGCCTCCTGCCACTCCCCTCACATTATCTATTAGATTCCTAGTTTCCCTATTTAGATATAAATAGAAACATGATGTTTCTATTGCTTTGGTTACAATTGCAGCTACTGAAATACATTCCATAAATTTCATTTCCCTGTATCTTCTTTTATATTGTATCCAAAGGTCTATTTCTGCACTCTTCTTGTTTGACAAGGTGGAGCGGAGCATCTTCTCCCAGTATCTTATCAGATGGTATCTGTTAGGCTCTAGAACAAGCATGCTTTCCTTTTAAAAGTCTTACAGATGCACTTGTGGGAACGTGAAGAAGAGCCCACGGGTTTCTGAAGAGTGCTGACATAAACAAACACTGCCAGCTTATACTGCACAGGACCATTTGTATCTGAGTCTGAACTCTAAAACTTCAGTGGTTTTTTTCCTCCTCATCTTGGACCCCAGGCTGCTCCATGGATCCTCTTTCTTCTTGAATTTTCTGTTTAGAGCAATGTCATCTCCCATGGGACATCCCAGTGTCCTGCTGTGGATCAGAATGGGCACTCCTGACTTCCCAGCCACGCAGGCTGGGCAGTGCCTTTGTCTTGGTCTTAGTGGCCCCAGACTTCATAACACAGGACGGCTCAGCCCTGTCATCCGGCCAGGACTAGGCAATTCTTCCTTGTTCCCAGTTTTCTATTTTCCTTTGATTCTGTCATTCTGAGACATGGGAAATTTTGTGTTGGATCTCTTTGGTATTTCCTTGGAAGCATCTCTTTTAGAATTTTGCTCTGTTCAGATTTCATAACCAAGTGGACACTTCCATGCATACCCTCGGCTTCATACCCATATCATTCATTGATCCAGAGTTCTATATTTTATTGATCTACTGGCATAAAATGATTTTCAACTAATTTTTTTGTGTTCTATTGATCTTTATCATTACTGATAGCCAATTAGCCAGAAGTTGTTTATTATAATCATTTGTATGTTATGTATTTATTAAACATTTGTATTTTCTAATATTATTAATTCATGTGGTACATCTATGTGCTTGCCCTCTGACTTTGTCTATGGATCCAAGATACTGCATCTAGGACAAGAACAACTCAATTCCCTCTCAAATCCTACCACCTCTACATCACATAGTTTCTGGCAAACCATCTCTGGGAGGTGAGTCAGGCAAGTCACTCATCTCATCTGACAAATATTTTTCTGTGAAGGGTGGATGTGACACATATGTTCGTTCTTTGAGATTTAAGCTGGTCACCTAATTGGAGCCAGAGCAGACGCCAGGGGTTGAGTCCTGGAGATGTGCCAAGGCAAATGCTAGGACTGCAAGTCCACCCCAAGTGATGGGATAAGGAGGAAGGGGAGGCTAGAACATACTTGTCTGCTAACACACTGCTTGGGAAGGTCTTCTCTGACTTACCTCTGCCAGGCCACCTGCTAGATACCCTCAGAGCAACTGACTCCGCTGTCTAATGTTTCCCCCAAACATTCCTGCTCTCTTGCTCCAGGCCTTATTCTTCCCTAACAAAGACAAACGAGTTCCTTGTTTAAGGAGAGACAGTGATAGCACATTTTCCTTGACTGGGTGAAGACAATTTATCAAAAATCCTAAGCAAGTGGAATCCACTCTCCTTCTGATCTCTTCTCAAGAAGTGCATGACTGTGGTCCTCATTAAGCCTGTGTTCTCGGTAGGCTCAGTATTTTCCTCCAGTGTGCTGGCCCAAGGTCTAACTTAAGGACAAGGAGTATTAGCAGTTTCATTGTTACCACAATTCTAAGCCACATTATCCAAAACAGCCCTGCTCACTAATAAATATGATATTCTGATATTCATCTGCCTGGCTTCTTTTCCTTCCTCTCTTAATTAGTTCTGAACTTGGGCAAGAAATAGTAGTCTCGTTTCCTACGCTATGTCAAACCCCAGTACCTCCTACACATAGGAAGAATCCAGGAAAAACCAATGTAGACATATCCTAATGTTGGAAAATTTTGGATCCAAAGAGGGAAATATGAGAGTTAAGGCTGGAAATAGGAGAATAAAGCTCTGAAACCGAAGGGTTTTTACCTGGAGTCAGAGGGTCAGTAAGCTTCCTGAAATGGTATACAAAATGTTCTCTGTACAAGAAGCAGAGGTTTCATCAGATCTCAAAAGAAGTCCTTGAGTCTCTAGTTTAAGAGCCATACATAGACCTTGTGTTTGTCTCCTGACAACTGGAAATTCGGTCCCACCTTCTCGTCTTCCCTCTTGCCTGAGATGGCCTTGCTGCTCCCCTCATCACACCCTTCAAGCCTGCTTGAGCCTCTGTCCTTCCCCCTGGGAAGCCAGCTCTGCCTCTCTCAGCCTGCAGGGAAATCACCCTTCTGTGGCCTCCTGGTCCCCTTGTATCTCCTGCTTTCATCAAGTGAAGTGTAAGCTCCTGAGAGCAGGGGCAAGATTGCTTAATAGCTGCTCTGTATCACTCAAACCACCTAGCATGCAACCATCATTTCTGTATCACACTCACACTTGCATGGTGATTTAGTTTCCATGTTCACTCCCTTGCTTGCCCTAATATGAGTCCTGGGAGGGATTCATTAGACACATTTTTACCAAGGAAGAGAGAAGCTTAGAGAGATTAAGTTATTTTTTTTTTTTCAAAGTCAAAGAATTAGGAAACAGCAGAGACAGGAATGTCAAACTTAAGTCACCTTATTCCTGGTTCATGGTATCTTCTACTCCAGAACGCAGCTTCTTTTAGAAAATATTGACCAAAACTTGCTACATTAGCTTTCCTCTTCATAGGAGAAATGTCTTCGTTTAGATAGAAATCTGGATGGACAAGTGTGATTTTGGACCCTTTGGGTTAAAGAGGAAAGAAAGAGCTGAGACCAAGAGAAAACTTGATTTTCTCACATAAGACATTGATGGGAATTTGGGGTTGTGTATGTTCCTCCAAAAGGAGACTATCTTTCATAATAGGTAGGAAACCATTAGACATAAGTATGAATACTGAAAAATCCTCCAAGGAAGGTTTGGCAAAAGGATATTTGAAGAACAGGAAGGTTTTAATTTTTCTATCTTAAGTTTATCATCTGTCTTGTACGTGATTTCCTCCTACTCCCAGCCCAGCTGTTTAAGAAAATTTCACTACACCCAAATTTCTCAAGTTCAATGTTGAGGAAATCAGGGAAAAGCAGGGATGTTCCATTTGAGTCAGTGGGTAGGAGAAAAGAGAACAGCTGGAGTGGGAAGAGCAAGAGATATTTGAGAGCCCTGTGTGAAGTTCAGAAGGACCAAGAAATGAAAGCAAGAGATGATAATGGAAATGTTAGCCCCTGAGAATTCACAGGTGCCTTGGGAAGGACATTGAACCTTCCCAAGATGAGGACCAGAGATTAAAGCCAATTTTATTTAGATCCTATAGACATCTGGGTGCCAATAGATTGACAGTAGCCCTCCCTGCATTTTATGAATGAAGAGCAGTAGGTGGATGATAAAACGAGTGTGGTGCTTTAGGAAATAAATTGAATCCCTCAGTCTCCCAAAGGCCTTGTGTATTTTGGGGGAGGGAGAGAGTGTTAGACAGCTGAAAGCTATCCTGATGATGACAGTTGAATCATCTGCTGCAGAGCAAACTTGATGGCATTTAAATGCACGGGATTTAGCTCCAGAGAAGGTCTGTGGAAGCACCTTGTGCCTCTTAGCAACTGCCAGGCTTCTAGTTTCCATCTCCTGTTAAGAAATGTTCCCATGTTTAAAAGGTAGGTGATAATGTGCATGTTGTAATCTCTGCAACAAAACCCAATTATCTTCTCGTTTGGCTGTTTATCATCTGAATGACATGAAAGATGGGAGAGAAAGATGGGAGGCAGTGAGTAGGTGGAGTAGATGAGAACCAAAATGACATTTCGGAGCCCTGTGATGGCCAGCAGAGCCCACAGAGCTTCAACTCTGCTCGGGGCACCATATCCATCTCAGGCAAACAGGAGCCTTGAGTGTAAATCCTGCAGCAACTCACAAGGACCCAGGTAAGCAAAGAATTGCAGATTCATTAATTGCAATGGGAATGATTCTCAGTGCCTCTCTGTCTCCTCCTTCTCAAAAGCTGAAGTGTGGGTCTTGGTGATTTGCAGTCCAAAGCATCAGGCACGTCGAGGGGCAGTGCGTGGATCTAAGTCAAGGACTGAAACATGATCTTCCCTCAGTAAATGATGCAACCAGCCCAGCGAGTTCCCATTTCCTTTGAGATTAATAATACTGCTGGTTCCACGGTGGCCATCGCTGCTGCCATCACCACCTCTACAGCTAGTTACCACTCATCGTAGATGGCAAGCCAGGCACCGGATCTAAGGGCTTTCAATTACCATCCCACTTAACCTCCATCAAAACCCTATGTGATGAGCATGGTCATGACATCAATGTTATACATGACAAAACTGAAAGTCAGAAATTTAAGTGATTCATTTCCTGTCTGGAAATGATTGTTCAGGAAAAAAAAAAAAGGAAAATTAATACACAGTTTGAGAGTGAGTGTTGTACCGTGGCTAAGAATAAGGACTTTGTTATCAGGCAAATCTGAGTTTGAAGCCTGGCTCCGCAATCTGCTGGCGGTGTGAGCTTGGGCAACTCACCTGACTTCTCTGAGGCTCCAGTTTCTCCATCTGTAAAATGAGGATGACAATAATGCTCATCCATATCCACCACATTTCAAGTGATCAAGAAATGCTATCCAGTTTTATTAAAATATTGTTTTTTTCTCTGCTTATGAATCAAAAAGACTTATTCTATGACTCCCTACCAGGTAAGAAAGTCTTTAAAATAATTATCCCTTTAAAGGTTCTCTAAGGTTTGAGCAGGAAGGAGCTCTGGAAGGGCATTCCTCTTCCTGGCTTGGGGCAGTGGCAGTAAATGACCAAATGGCCTGGCCTCGGTCCCACTCAGAGTCACTATTTTAATTTCTGTTTTTATGACAAATGTTGTTACTCTGTAGCACAGCTGAGACTGAGTGGGGTTTACAAAAGGAACATTAATAACTGCTATATCAATTATCTATGGCTGCATAACAAAATACCCCAAATTTAGGGCTTAAAATATAAATTATTATTCCTGCTTAGGATTTTGTGGTTTGTCTGCTGGTCTCTCCTAAGCTCACCCCTATGACTCCAAATGATAAATAGAATGGCTGGGTAGTCCAAGATTTTATCAGTATGCCTTATTGAATAATTTTATGAATTTATATTTCCAAGAATTATGTAAAAGAGCAAGGCACCCCATTTCCTTCCAGCCTTCATGTGATTTTATTTAAAAACCCAAGATATTTTTTGTTTAGTTTTGTTTTTCCAAGATTAGAAGCAAAGAGAGCTAAAAGTTAAGTATTTCCAATCCAAGGAAAGAGCAAAACTTGAAACTAAACAGCTGAATTGCCTGACAGTCTGAGGGAACCCTGATGAGAATGTCCCAGCCCAGGACTTGCTGGAGACAGGACGGGAGAGGAAAGTCAGGAAAGCAGCAGAAGGGAAAGTCCAGACCCCTGTGCTGTCCAGCAGAGCAGCGGTTTGCTGCAGCTCAGTCCCCAAAAGGGGCTGTGCTGGCACCACCACTACTGGTAGACCCCACTCCAGAAGCCAGAGCATTCGCCAAAGGCAACCCAAACCCCTCTGTTGTCCAGGTAAGATCATAAGCTCCCAGTGCAGCCTGGTCTCCAGTGGGAAGCTTTCATTTCCGCTCAGACCTGAGCATGGCTCCAGACTTCGGGATTGATACAATTGGCAAGGAAAAAGTCCCTATTTGTACTTAAAGAAGCTGAACAGAGGCCGGGTGCAGTGGCTCACACCTGTAATCCTAGCACTCTGGGAGGCTGAGGTGGGTGGATTCCTCGAGGTCAGGAGTTCGAAACCAGCCTGAGCAAGAGCGAGACCCTGTCTCTACTATAAATAGAAAGAAATTAATAGGCCAACTAATATATATAGAAAAAATTAGCTGGGCATGGTGGTGCATGCCTGTAGTCCCAGCTATTTGGGAGGCTGAGGCAGTAGAATTGCTTGAGCCCAGGAGTTTGAGGCTGCTGTGAGCTAGGCTGACGCCACGGCACTCACTCTAGCTTGGCCAACAAAGCAAGACTCTGTCTTAAAAAAAAAAAAGAAGCTGAACAGAAATATTCCAGGTACCTACCATGGACACAGCTTTTCTATCAACTCCAAATTCCAGACTCCCTCTCATTGACTCATCGCTTTCTCCAACAACTTTCCTCTAGCGACACTTAAAATTATTCAACAGAAAATAGTTAAAGGTCTTCTGTCGTTTGGCAACTGCTTCCAAATAGTACTAGAAAAGGGCCTTTTATTTCTTTGTTATGCTCCAAGCGTCTTGATTACTGTCTGAACTAACTCCAGGGATTATTATGTGAAGCCTTGCAGGGCTTTATTTGGGATCTTAATTCCAGGGGAATGCACACGTAGGTATGGTGTAGTCTGGAGATTTTGGGGGGTGTAAATTGCAGGGGATCCACTGCTTTCTCTTTTAGACCATGGGCAATGGCAGTGGAAACAGCCAGCCAGCTCAAGCCTTCCCCTTCTGCAGAGGGCCTTTTAAAATTCTGAATATTGAATTGAATCCTTGTTATAATAATCTCTTACTTCTTCACACTTGAATGCAAAAGTTTTATGGCTTTTCATTTGTACTACTTATCCACATCAGTGCAGGAGGTAACCTTAGAAATATATCTTCTAGTTCAATTTCCTCATTTGGAAAAATTGCAGCCCAGAGAGCAGACACGAGTTGCCTAAACTTACATACATCTTGTTGGTACCAGGGCCTGGACCCAAGTCTGGGCCTTCTGACTCATGATAAGAAATATTTCCTCTGCTTCTTTTTAAAAGCTCTTTGAATTGAATACAATTTTGAGTCTACTCCTAAGTAGTCATTAGGCAGCAGTCACAGTGCTAAACATTTCACAGTCGTCACATCAAATCCTCGTGATAATTCTATCAGTACCATTATCCTCATTTTATAGATAAGGAAAATTGGTTTTGGAGATGTTTTTAAGTTGCCTGATATGATGTATTAGTTTTCTGTGGCTGTCATGAAAAATCCCCACAAATTTAGTGCTTAAACAACATATTTATTAACTTATGGTTTTGTAGCTTGTAAGTCCAAAGTGGATCTGATTGGGCTGAAGTCAAGGTGTTGGCAGCACCGTGTGTCCTTTCTGGGGGTACCCTGGGGTAATCTGTTTTCTTGCCTTTTCTAGCTTCTGCAGGCTGCCCAAATTCCTCAGCCTGGGACCCCTTCCTCCATCTTCCAAGCCCACAACCACTAGCTGAATCCTCACCTCACACCTCTCTGACCTTGTGTCCCTCATCTTATCTCGCTCTGCCCACAGCCAGGAAATGTTCTCTGCTTTTAAGGACTCACATGATTAGGTTGGGCTCACCCAGAGAATCTAAGGTCATTTCCTCATCCTCAAGGTTTGTAATCTTAATTACAGTTGTAAATTTCCTTTTGCCATGTGAGGTAACGTATCACAGGTTTGAACATGGACATATTTGAGAAGATCATTATTCTCCCTGCTGCAGTCCAGCCTCAGGTTCCCAAAGATCCACGTCTGTCATACATGCAAAATACATCCTTCCTGTCCCAAAGTCTCAATGCATAACAGGAAAGAAGCTTGTAGATCAATGGAATATAGACCTGTTAACCGCTGGCCAACAGCACATGCTGCCACGTTGCCTTAACTTACAGTGTGTGATTTTCTTACTGATCTGCATGAGCCCGTCAAATTGCAGAAAGTCAGACTGTAAGCTCCAGGAAGGCAGGAAAAGTATCTATTTTATTAATCATTCTACTCCAGTGCCTGTCGCATGGTAAGTGCTCAAATAGTTGTCAAGTGAATAAATGTTGAAAAATTCAAGCATCTGTGTAAACCAACGGCATAAACATTGTAATAAAATCATTACAAAAATGTATTTTTCCTGTTCCAAAACAGGAATTTAAGGACTCATTGTATTCTTCTCAATGGTTTTCAGAAGTGCTTGAAACAGGTTACAAACTTCACCAAAGCCCAGGCTGCTTCCAGGTAAATTTATCAAACTGCTTATACCCCATCTGGGTTTTAATTACTAGTAAATGTCTTTTCAGGCATTGTGATTCCTGCCAAGATTGGCTCCCAGCCCATGGATTCTGTTTTAGGTTTAAATATAACCATTAAACTTACAAATTACCAAATTTGTTATTCTCAACATATTTAGGTGTATTCTTGATGTAAGCATCCTGATTACTTTTGTAGATAGAATGCTCTCCTGCAGTTTTTTCTAATATTCCCCTCCATAATGACTGAGCCAATGGAACCTAAGAGAAAACAGTAGTATTATTTTCCCAATAAGAATATTTAACAAATAGTTTGCTTTAGATTAGTAGCCAGGCATGAGAGCGGGAATAGGGATTAACCACAAATAGGCACAACGGACTTTATGGAGTTATGAAAATGTTCTAAAACTGGATTTTGGTGATAGATGCACAACTGAGTAACTTCTCTACAAACTATTGAATTGTACCTGTACACAGGTGAATTTTAATGGGATATAAATTGTACCTCAATATGGGTGTTAAAAATAATTTGTCTATCATCTACTCAGAAGCACTATCCACATACTTTGCGTTTAACATAATTACTGTTTACGAAGGCATTCTCTAAATTCATGCCTTAGTAGTCTAATCCTCTTCAACTGCATCTTGGCCTATTAATAAGCACAGCTGAGCATGTTCACACTTAGTTGCTCCAGAAATAAGCAGAACATGCTTGTTTGTCCTCTTCTTCCCAAACAATCTAAGCACAAATAGATATTTATTCTTAATTTTTTTTTTTTTTGAGACAGAGTCTTGCTCTGTTGCCCAGGCTAGAGTGAGTGCCGTGGCATCAGTCTAGCTCACAGCAACCTCAAACTCCTGGGCTTAAGCGATCCTCCTGCCTCAGCCTCCTAAGTAGCTGGGACTACAGGCATGTGCCACCATGGCTGGCTAATTTTTTTTATATATGTTAGTTGGCCAATTAATTTCTTCCTATTTAAGGTCTTGCTCTTGCTCAGACTGGTTTTGAACTCCTGACCTCGAGCGATCCGCCTGCCTTGGCCTCCCAGAGTGCTAGGATTACAGGCGTGAGCCACCGCGCCCCGCCTTTATTCTTAATATTTACAGAATTCTGATATTTGGTTTAATTTATCTGAGTAATTATCTCAACATGATTCAAAGCACACATTTCTTATGTCCTACAGTTTATTTGGAAGCAGTAATCCAGTCCCTAATCCCTCAGTGTAGCGCTGAAGAGATAAGTCGATTTCCCACACAGATAAAGCTGAATATGCTGGTGTATACACAGAGGCTGGGAAAACAAAGTGAGAAAACTAAACACTTCTCAGCTTTTTTAGCATTTGTGGACTTGAGCATCAATCACATAAATGCATTTCTGGGCAACTATATACAACACCAAATATAGATGCACATACACTGTCACAAAATAAAGATTCTGTAATCTTTGTTACTGGGTTTAAAACAATAAAACATCATTTTGAAATTATGCAAATAACTCATGTGATGGGAGGGCTAATGGAGGGTTTCATGTTCCTCCGACAAAGACCTGGACTAGCCATCTTATCCTGGAGCATAAGGTACGATGCCAGAGTCTCAGGCTTGGTTCCAGTTTGAAGCAAGGAGGCAACCTGTGACCTTTGGCTTTGTCCTTTTTCCTTGTTCCCTTGTCCAGTGTCTCTGTCCCATGAGAATCATCGGCTGTCAGTGGTTGTAAAAGTGTAGATTCCACACGTGCTGAGTCAGAATCTCCAAGGTGGGGTTCCAAGAATCTGCATTTTTCATGAGAGCTGCAGGTGATTATAATGTACTTGGATTACCTTTTGTATTTGATCTGAGGATCTTGCCAATATTTGGAAGATTCATCATGGACTCTTTATGAACATTCATGAACATTTCAAGAAAAAATATAGATCACCTGGAGATCTTGTGAAGTTGCAGATTCTGATTTCAGAGTTCTGGGGTTTCTCCATTCCAGCAAGTTCCAGTGATGCTGGTGCTTCACTTTGGCTAACTAATGAGGCCTCACATTGTATTCATGCCATGCTGCAGGATCACAGCGCCTCCTAGGGGGCAGAGCATAGTGGCAACACCAATGATTATCCTGTGCAAATGCCCTTTGCAGCAAGTGTGCCTCTGTGAACTTGGGCTAGATGTAGGGGTCTAATGAGACATCCTCTCTTGGACTATGGAAAGTGGAGCCACAGCAATGCTGAAAGTCACTATGGAGAGGACAGTAGAGGGAGAAGCGGAGAACAGAGCCATATAGAAAGTCCATCTGATCATAAATATAAGGGGCAGAGAAACGAAGAACATTAACAATGGAAATAGAAACTGAAGGTGCCAAACCATGTCAGTATGTCCAAAAAGGAAGACAGGAGGCAGAACCTGGAGGTTCCCTGCAGGCTGAGGAGTAGCTGCAGGGGACATATATAAAATGCCTGCAACGTCACTATGGGTGGAAAGAAAGCCATTCTGGATTCAAAACCTTCAGTTCAGTCCTGGATACATAATGTTTATACTTTTATGACACCATACATTATTTTTTTTTAATAATCTATCCTGATTATGTGAAATAGTAGTTTCCAAACTAAAATATGCTTAAGAATCACCTGGGCAACTTGTTAGAACAAGATTCCTGGGACTCCACCATCTGAGATTCTGACTCTAGTAGGTTTGAGGTGGCACCCAGAAACCTCATGTTCAAATGTTAAAAACATGTGATTTTCTTATATATATACATGCTTAGTTATAGGTTGTCTTTGTTAAAAGATGTGTGTGTACTAATTAAACAATTACATCACCATAAGCTAATTTGAGAAATACCTTTTCTAGCCATTCGAAGTCGCACAACAAACAATTTTGGCCCCAAACTGACAGAAGTTTTGTTGGCAACAAAATCTATTCTTGGGCTTTACTTATATCTGTAACAAGACCTCCATAATTTAAGGGAGTTGGTTACACAGCCCCTATTATTTGAAATAAAGTGTACTCTACTTAATTCCAGAAACTGAAATAAATCTTCATCCTTACCCAGGTGAGATTTTGTATTTTTTGGCTATAAGACATTAACATCTTCTAATGTAATCCAAAAGATCCAATATGACCCAATTCTAATTATTTTCATCTTTTTTTGTTGTCAGGGCCAAATATTTTCTGGATGCTAAATTTTAAAAATATTTTTGATTGGATTTTGATGATTTTTCACCACATTATCTGACTAGCAATCCCAAGTTTCAAGGTCATTGCTCTTTGGCATTGGGTACCAATCAGGAAAGATACCAATCAGAAACCAGCTATGCGGAAATGTGAATGTCAGCTCTATTACTGGGGAGGATGTATTGGTGTACCCAGCCTGTGGCTGGTGTCATGCTTCCTTCAAATTCCCTTCCCTATACCATTCCCTCTCAAGATCTTGGGACACCCTATCAGAGGGAGACATTGAAAAGCAGATGTCTGCTTAACTAACTGGTGGTGAATTATGGTAGGAATTCAGAGCCTGAAGAGCAGGAGAGACAGCAAGACCACTAACGGGTACCATTTGTTAATAAATATTAACTCCCCCCAACCAGGGAGAATGACACTCACCAAAGAGATAAATGCTCCTCCAGAAAGGCCAAGAATTTTACTCCAAATAGAAATCCCACTAATAGGTACAACAAGATAGGTATTAGGAATTCCTCTAAAAGGTCTGAATAGTATATAGGAAAAACAGTTTTTAAACTGCTTTGAAAATTAGAAAGTCCCACCCAACTGCAAGTTACACCGATTATTGGGTCTAAAGGACTCTAAATGTTGGAATTGTGTCAGGAGAATTATTCAGATTGAATTACTTACTGGCAACAGATATTTACTGTTCCCTAGGCTTGCGTGACAATTTTAACATATTGACATATTGACAAAATAGGTCAAGAGAGAGAAATACATTGAATGAAATGAGGAAGTCTATTTAATGTAATAGCAACAAATACAAGATGTTTGGATTATCCACAAAATTTCGGTTCTAATAGCGTGACTAATTGAGAGGTGACTATAGGAATTTTTATTTTATTTTTATTTAGCTAGGCTTTTATTTATTTTAATTTCTTTCTATTTATTTATTTATTTTAGTGTATTATGGGGGTACAAGTGTTAAGGTTACATATATTTCCCATGCCCCTTTTAAATCACAAGACTCACCATAAATCAGTGAAAAGGCTGGTACTCACTCCTTGCCTGTCTCACCATTAACAGTATAAGGTTGATGGGTGTCTTAGTCAGTTTGGGCTGCTAACAACAATGCCATAGTCTGGGTGGTTTAAACAATTAAAATTTATTTCTTACCATTCCAGAGGCTGGGAAGTCCAAAATCAAGGTGGTGGCAGATTTAGCATTTGGTGAAGGCTCTCTTCCTTATCTACAGTAGGCCATCTTCTTGCTGTTTCCTCACCTAGCAGAAAGAGAGGGATCATTTCTCTCATGTATCTTCTTAGCAGAGTGCTAATTATAGTCACAAGGGCTCCACCTTCATGATGTAATCACCTCCCAAAGGCCTCACCTCCAAATTCTATCACATTAGAGATTAGGATTTCGACATATTAATTTTGGAAGCACACAAACATTCAGTCCATAGCAGTGAGCCTTTAGATAATTGAGTGGAGTAGTCTGTTTAAGATTCTAGTCTTTTGCAAAATGTCTGTATTTTAACTCTGGGATTAAGTCTACAGTCAGTCCCTGACTTGACCTTCTCTTCTTGAAGGGAAAGATGGCGAATTCACTTATTACTCTGTCTTGTGGCACAGCTAACTGTATCCCCTACCCTGGAGACTGGGAGACCTTGTAGAATAGAAATACCACTACCTCCTGTAACCTCTCATCGAAGCTACTATATCCTTTTCCTAGGCAATCATGATAGCCTTATAACTGGTCTCCCTGGTTACACTCATGCTCCTTGAAGTCTATTTTCCACTTAGAAGCCAGGATAATTATTTTAGAATGTAAATCAGAATATGTCACTGGCCTACTCAAAACCCTCCAAATCTTTTTCTCTCCACAAATTTTAGAATCTTGACTTAATGCAGAATACTAACTTAAGACCTACGTGATTCCTTCCCCAGCTACCTCTCCACTGTCATCTCCAGCCGTGCCCACCTCATTTGCTGTTTCTAGAACATGATGACCATGGTTTATACTAACCATTCTCTCTTGCCCTAAATAGCTTCATGGCTTAATCCATCATGGCAACTAGGTCTCTGTTCAAATGCCTCTTTATCAGAAAGACCCACCTGCTATGAACTGAATTATGACCCCCATGAAATAATTTGAAGCTCTGCCTAGGGAGGTAGAGTCACTTCAGAATGTGACTGTATTTGGACATAGGGTCTTTAAAGATGTGATTAAATGAAAATGAGGCTGCTGTATATGTATCCAAACATCTACACTGTAACACATAAATATGGACAATTTCTATGGGTCAATTAAAACCAAAATAAAACAAAAAAAATGAGGCTGCCAGGGTGGCCCTAATATGATATGAGTGATGTATTTATAAGAAGGGGAAACTTGGGCATGCAAAGAGACATCAGGGACACTATATACAGACAAAAGGCCATATGAGGACATGGTAAGAGGCTGGCTATCTACAAGCCAAAGAGAGAGGCCTTAGAAGAGACCTTTGATGTTGCACTTCCAGCCTCCTGAACTGTAAGGAAATAAATTTCTGCTGTTTAAGCCACCCAATCTGTGGTATTCTGTGATGGCAGTCCTAGCACACTAATACATCCACCCTGATCACTCAATAGTATGCCTCTATTCCTTTAACCTAGCTTTATTTCCCTCTGTAGTACTCATTGTGTGACATTATATTATATATTTATTTTTCTTTTCACTTATTTTCTGTTTCAGCTACTTATATACAAGCTCCATGAAGCATGGACTTTGCCATGCTTGCTATTATAATGCCCAGGACAATCACTGGCACACAGCAGGTGCTCAGTCAATGTTAATTAATAAAAAGATGAAAAGACTCTGCTGTTAGGATTTTTTGCCTCCCTGGTCTTTCTTGACCTGTCTATATTTCATCTCTGTAGAGCCTTTTATCATTCTTGCAGCCCTTCCTGACTTTTCTGAAGCCTTCTACCTCCGGGTCTTCCCCTGACACTCGACTCACCTGCTTGATCGATCCCTGGTCACTCATTGGCTCTTGACTGCTGTGGGAGGCTGCTTTGTCTTGTGTTTATAATTTTTCCCCAGCAAAGGAAAGTTTGCCTGAAAAGGACTTTTGCACTTGGTTTTAAGTGCAATGCAGCTCTACTCATGGCTAAATGTATGTCTTCTCAATATGTCCTTGGCATTGAGTTGCACAGTCGGCCTTATCCTTATCCTGCTGAGTGAGGCTGACGCAACGGTTCTCAGACAAATCCAGCTAATATTTGTTCAGCTTGGGAGACACAAAGTACACAAAAAAGCACTAATCAATAACTTTGCCTCACTCTGATGAAAACTTGCAATTTTGATGTTCTAAACACTGTGTTCACTCTAATAGCCAAGTGGTGATGCCACGCACTTGCCAGATTAAGGCAATGTGGATGACTAGCTTAATACTTATAATGAAAGCCTGGGCAGGGGCCAAGACTGTGTGCAAATGCCTGCTTTTACGCCTCATCTTCCACTGTTCTCCGTGAGGCTTTTGTTTTACTCCCAACAGTATGCGTCCTGCTTCCTGGGCATATCCTTGACTTTCCTGTCATCCAATCTCTGATTCCTTTCTCCCTGGTTATGAGATGAGCAGCTAAGTGAATATAAATATTACCTTTGCTTTGATTATGAATTGTATCCTCCCACTCCTCATTTCCACTTATAAGACACTACCTACCCTCCAAGGCAGTTCTAACTTAGTAGCAAAAAGTAGCTAACAGTTAGTGAGTAGCTACTATGTGCCAGGAGCTATTGCTAGTTTTTAACATGGAATAATTTATTTGATGCTTATAAAGATGGCTATGAGATAGGTATGACCATTATCTCTATTTTTATAGATAAAGAAACAGAACCAGAGATGCCACCTCCACTTCTATAAGAAACCTCTCCTGGTCTCTCCTGTAAGATGTGATTACTTCCTTCACTGAGCTTCCACAGTACATGTGCCTTCCCTCATATTACTTAACTTGTATGGTCTTTTAGAGTAATTCTGGTATATCGGTCTGATTCATGCTTCTGGTCTATGAGCTCTTTAAGGGCAGAGACCATGTCTTAATAAACTTTTTATTCATCAACTACTTCTTGCTGAATATAAATGCTTAAGAACTGTCTCTTGCATAGGCTTGAATTGACTTCTTTGCCCTGGAAATCCTATGTTTGCTGGTGAGAGAGCTTCCAGGACTCAGACTTTGGTTCAAAGAAGGAGTACAAAATTAATTCCAAATAAGCTCATTGGATGTGGTTTCTGGAGGGAGGGTGTATTGGCACGCATTGGCCCAGTACAAAGGCTCTTTCTCAAGAACAGACCCAGCCAGCAAGCAGCTCAGGTGTCAGTATCTTTCTTTGGTGATGGGGAAGACTTGGAATGGTTTTTAGAAGTTCGGTGGACATGCAACCCCTTTGAAAGAATTAGGCTCTTCTGATCTGTTGGGCTCTTGACTGGAGGTATAAATATAGTTCTCTATTATTTTATTTTGTCCCTTTGGGTCTAAGTAAGCTGGGAATAATCTGAATTCTATTCATATTTCAGGACTAGCACTTCTCTTTAGGAAGCTTCTTCTTCCTTCATCTCTTGCTCTGATCTTTTCCAGCACTAATATGTGTGTCATTCACAGGGCATGAAGTGCAGATGGCCCTGTGTGACATTTAACCTTTCATAGGTATATGTAGTTCAGCTCTTAAAACTGCTGAAAATCCCCAGAGACCAGAGATGGAGGCTTATACTTTGTTCGAGTTCCACAGTCGGGTGCGCAGCCCGGACACACGGGTAGCTTTGTGACGGGCCCATTAATCATTTCCCACATGGTCACAGGCATTAGAATAGGTACTATGGGATCAGATCAGACAATTGAACAGATAATGAAAGAAGCCAGGGTGCCTCACAAGTATTTAGATGATAAATGAAGAGAATTTCAGGGAAGGGTTTTGGAGAATCTAATATCATATCTTAATGGCCACTGTGGAAATCTTCCATAAATTATAGACTGAGGCTTCAGACATGTTTAGTAACCTGCTCAAGTTGCCCAACTAATGAATTGCAGAGTCAAAATTTGAACCCAGGTCTTTTGAAACCACCTCTGCTTTTCATACTTACTACACTTAATTGTTAAAGGACTGTGGAACTAAAACCCATCCTAAACTCACTGACAGGGGTAGCAAATTACACATTCCCAGCTCTGTCTTCTATGCTTAATGGTTCTTTCTACAGAATATGTTTGAATCAGGTTCTCATTTCCTTTAGTCCTTGGCTTTGTCAATGTGCAAAGCCATTTAAAATTAATTAAGTTGATTCTTATCTTCAAATTGGTACTAGATAATGCATTTGCGGTTGCCAAAGGAGCTTCCCCAAAGGCATGTTAATGATATATTAGTTTTCCATTGTCCCTTTTTTAGTACCATATTCTAGGCCTTCCATTCTCCAGGACAGTAGTTGTGGCCATTAGTATCATTATATAGAAGGTAGCAAAATGTTCCAATCTCGCAGAGAGATGGAATCCCTATTAGGCTCTGGTAACAATGGTCCAGGCTTTGCCCATTGTCTGAGAGCTTTTCTGAGACAATGATGGGACTTTGTTCTTGGGCATGCTGAATCCATAGTCAGACATTATGGCTATTGAGACACTATCTTCCATGGTGATTGAAGGGAGCCTGGGTTACTTAAATTATGCTAAATAAAAAGGAAATGACAAATCCTAAAAAGCTTATGAGCACAATTTTATTTTATTTTGTTCCAAAGTGACTTTGTATCATTATGTGAAACAATGAACCCTATTGTATGCCCAGCCTAAAACCCTTTTTAATTGTAAGCATTCTCAGGGGTACAACAGAGATGTTTTGTGTTCCTGGTCCATGTGTTACCTTGTTTAATTCTTCCATCTGTAAAGTGAGACTAGAGACTTTAAGCTGTGGGAATAAAAGATGTGTAGAAACATCAAAGCATGGTGACTTGAGGACTTTTCCCTCCATACTCAGAATACTAGCAAACCCCAACTTTGAAAACATTCTTTTGAGGTGTTCTGGAAGCACAAACCATACAGTATGCAGCTGGATATGGTAATATATTAGCACAGAGAAGTCCAACTTGCCTGACATTACCCAGCAAAGGAGTGGAGAAATAAGGAAGAGAACCCAGTCTTCTGGTTAGATGACAGCTACTGCATCATCATCATGGAGTTAAGCCCATTAAATGAAGGAGCTTTAGAATGCC